GAGAGACCATGGAAAATGATAAGCAATTATACGTGAATAAAGGTCAGATGGCTTACGTGTTAGACGTAACACATATATCTCAAACAAATGTATTGAAAGGTAATCTATTAAGCATGACATATTTAATAATCTTTGACAACTATAACAAAATAAAAAACTGAAATTGGAGATGGTAAATTAAGGATTGATTGAAAATTAAGAGAACACGTTGGATTCCTTTTGGATTGGGTTCAGTTCGTAACTGAATCATGTAACAAAATCATTATGTACTGTAAATGCTTTGTAGATCTAAGGAGAAAGTTAAACACTTATCCAAAACGTAGAAAATTGGATAATACCCTTGTTTTAAAAATCGCTAGGCGCTAGTCGGGCGCTCGGCATGGGCCTAGCGATTAATCGGAAAATCGGATTAAAATCGGGGATTAATCGGAGATTAGTTTTAGGGTTATTTTAATATTTTTAAAATATATTAATCCAATATTGTAAAAATTTATGATTTTTATTACAAATTTATGATTTTTATTAAAATTTGAACACAAGTTATTGTAAAACATCACAAACTCTCTATTCAAATGATTGAATAACAAAAATAAAAAGTTTTTTTATACTTGCAATCTAAAAAATAATCGGGGTATATAATATTAGGCGGAAAGTAATCGGATTAGGCGGATAATAATCGGGTTACTGATTTTTAGGGGATTAGTCATTAATCGAGGCGGATAGGGTGGGCCTAGCGATTAAGCGGGGAGTAATCGGGGCTAGGCGGGGATTTTTAGAACAGGGGATAATACCGAATAAAATTCTGCAATTGTTTTCTGATCTGCCAAGGAAAATGAAACTTTTGAATGCTTGCTTGAGCTTGAAGACGTATTTGGCGAAACTGTAAATACATAAACACATATATTGAAACATTGTTTATTAAGCATGATATAAGAAATCTTTGACAGCTATAACAAAATTAAAAACTGAAATTGGAAATGGTAAATTGATACCTTTGGGGTGAAAAAAGTAACTGATTTCTGAGACTAATCGATGTATGATGATGAGAAGACCATCTTTTATATATATATATATATATATCAGCATCTAGTGCTTTCATATTACGATATACACTACATATTAAGTATTTGTTCCTTTGGATTGAAAGAAAAAAAAAAAAACAAACAAACGAAAATACATCTAGGGACTAAATTACGCTTGACCAGGATCTGGATCAATTTTATTAATTAGTACTGTAGTGTATATATATATATATATATATATATGAGTGTTTAGAGTATTAGCTAGCTAGGGACTAAATTAAAACGTTAAGATATTATAATTAAGACACATTAATTAAGGTCCCTGGTGATGGCAGGAATACAGCTCGAAGTACGGGAAATGGCGGGCTTATTGTGAAGAGTGGGTTTATGGCTAATAGACTGACCCCTCGTGCTTCTCCGGAGCATATCTCTCATGGCATCAGCTTGGAAGAGAGCCGGATACTCCCTCCCGAGCTTGTTGAACCTGAGGCAGGCGCTCATGTGCTCCTTCAAGGCCCCTTCTAGCCCTTCCTCATCTCTCTTATACCTCTCCTCCTTCACCGCCTCTGAGCACAGTCCGCATATCCACTTCCCAAAGAACTTCTCCCTCACCCTCTCTATGTACTCCATCGTGCACTCCTCTCTCATCCCGCAGCACTCGCACTTTGCCTTCTCTACCTCCACTATCGTCCCCAGTCCTTTCTCTTCTTCTCTGTGGAAATCCAACGATATGTCTGACAGGGACCTATGCAGTGACTCTTTCGCTAGCTTTGGTGGTGGTGGCGGCTTCACCAAGCTTCCGCTCACGCTCTTCCTTCTCCCGTTTGGTGCCATCCTATCTTCTATTTTTTTCATCTAGAGCATCTGCTCTAAGCTTTGGTATATATATATATATAAGCGGTGCGGTCAGGTTAATACATTCATGTGTGGTTCAGCATTGCCATCTCACGTACGTGTTCATGCAATAGCGACCTCTTTACTTACTCTTTGTTTTACTTTTCACAACAATACTAATTAATGAAGCCACCAATTCACGTGCTACATTGCAACTGGCAACTAGCCTTTTAACTACAAGATCTTCTAAAGTACTATATGTATGATATATATATCTCTATATAGAGTTCATGTATGGGGATATATAATATATATATATATATATATATATATATATATATATATATATATATATATATATATATATAAACATTAAAAAAACACATGATTTAGTTATTTTTGTATGTCACTAATCTCAACTAGACTTGGTCATTTTCTTAATGAACTGTAAACTTTTGTCATTGCGTGCTTATTAATGTAGTTTTCGTTAGAGATTGCAAATTCCGTGGGAAAAAAAAGCATTAGATACATTTCGTTCCCTGAATCTGAATTATAGGAGGAAATCAGATAAGCTAGTGTGCAAATTATATACAAATTAAATGTGGTATTTAAGCCAAAAGTAAAATACAAACAATTATGTAACAAAAGCAAGTGCTCAAGAATTGTGTGGAGGTAAGTAAAAGGAACTATATGTATCCCAAAGACAACGATAGCTCACGTGTGTGTGAGTTTTGTATGTCCACACATAAAAGAGAGGAACAACATGGACTCGAGGAAGACCACTCATAATGAAGTTAAAAGTTGAAACTTGTAAATATTATCAATCCCAACAAAAGAAGAAGAAAAAGACGTATATTGGTTGTTTTAAACTCACTTTTGCGATAACTTAGAAAGTGCGGGGGACGCTCACGTGCATACATATCATGTATATTATACGTAGCTGATTCCACAGAACTCTCTATATTTCTTGTTGTCTACATTGCATGCGCTGTACGTCAATTATAGTTACACTTACATGCGTAGTATGAAAAAAAATGCATAACATTATTATACATCAAATCTGTGCATATATATGTAAATGTTACGCTTTCTTGCAGTGAAATACTCGAAGGTGGATATGTGCTTGCACCGCCTAACCTCGGGTTACGTAAGTAATACTTCAGTGTATATATCTATCTGATTCGTGCGCAGTGTCGAAATCTCCATACTAACCGAAATTTACAAATATAACTATTCAGATGGATTGGGAAAGGAGATTGATAACCGAATGAATACAAAGTTACAAAACCTCCTCTCTTGGATTCGATTTCAATCTCCACGAGCTCCATCAATCTTAAGGAGAGTAGCAACTGAAGCAACGCTCTTTCATCTGTGGAAACAGAGAAATAATGTCCTGCATAATCTACAAGCTCGCTCAGCCCATACCGTGTTTAAGATGACTAATCGTGATATCAAGAACACCATTTCTTCCAGGAGACTCAAACGCCTCTTTAGCAAGCTAATGACGTTGTGGATGCGATGAAGTTTAATTATGGACTTCCTCAGACCTTATTGACACCTTCTTTAATTTGTTTATCTCTTTCTTGCCAAGGAGTCAAATGTTAGGTTTAACAACTTTGTAAATCCTGTTTATTCTTTATGAAAAAAAAATAGCAAAAAAAAAAAAAAAAAAGGTTACAAAACAGGGCACAAGGGGTGAAGAAGGTCAGATATCATTATTTGGATATAGTGGGCTTTTAAATTGAATGATTGGGCCCATGCATTGCTGGGTAAAAGGCTAAAACAAGATTGAGATACACACTGCCGCAATTGTTTTTTAGTTTCCAAAGAAAAGAAAAAAAGAAAAAAGCAACAAGTATGTAATGATCAAGGAAATAAGAAAGGGAAGAGGAGTGTGAGAAATAGAGCAAAGAGGAGCTGTTGGGAGAGGGAAATGGTCTTCTTCTTCTTCCTTGTGATAATTATTCTGTCGGTGTTGTTGTGGAAAGTGGTAGTACTAGTGTTACTAGTGTAGAGAAAGGATATAGAAATGAGATTGTGATGAAGATCTGATTTGTAAAGAAGGGGCCTCCCCACAACACCCTTGAATATGCCGCTCCAGCCTTCATCTCCGACCGTCACGACCACAGCATCCGGACGTGGGGAGAAGGAGACCCAACCTCTCTTGGAGTAGACGTGGAACTCTGCATGGCAGAAGTTGAGACACAGAGAATGTCTTTCGTCATACCCTCTTATCAGCATCCTTATGGCTTCTTCCTTTGATTCGTTTTTGCTACCCTTAATATTATGTTTATTCACGTAGCAAACCCTAACCCCTTCTTCCTTTTCCTTTTGGCTTCTTCCTGCTCCTAGCTTTTCTCTCACCGCCTTCCCTATCCTCTCTGCCTCACCCATCAACTCCCTGCATCTTAATATCATTACTTACTACTTTCTTTTAGACTTTATAATTCCTAATCAAATTACTAGTAATTTTTGCTGCCTTAATTACCTCAAATCTGAATAACAAGCCGTGTGATCATCAGCAATATCTTTATAAAAAACAAACTCCTCCGTCTCATCGTGGAAAATGGTTCTGTCCATGACGGCTTTCACCATAGCCTCTGGAACACCGTGGTTAACGAGCTGAAAACAACCGATGGTGGCGATGGCATCCAGCAGGGTCGAGAGGGAGTCCAACCGGAGGAAATCGAAGGTGGGAGGGTTCAGAAGGAATGTGTGCTTGGGGAAGACTTTATCGGGCAATACAAGATTTGGGACTCGACCACACTTGTCCAGGAACTCCGAGAGGACGTCTTCGTTGGCCGTGAAGGAGGCCCGGCGGCTGGATGCTACGGGGGATGGAGGAGGGGCTCGAAAGTTAGGAGAAGAAGCTCCCATTTTTGTTTGGGGTCTTCTTACACTTAGTTAATTAGAGCAAGGATCTCTTTAATAGCACTAGTATAGATGTAGAGCAAGGATCGATCATTGGAGAAAGAAAAAGTTTTTGTTAAATAAAGCAAGAGCATAATGATGAGATGCAATTCTCTTGTTTGCCTTTCTTCATTTCAACTTTTCCTTTTCCAAAAAATAAAAAATATATTATTATTCATGGACCCAATTTGGGCCTTATAAGCGGCCTTTTTGTTTACACAATTAATGTGGATCCTCATAGGATGGGCACGGAGTGTGACACAAGTCCAAGTTGGAGGAGTCATAAAATGAAAAATAATAATGTCAAGTAGAGAGGGCATGTGGTGGGTCTCGCATACCAATTCCAAACCAACTAAATCTACTTAGTACCAATACATTGATGGTAGTTGCATTTTGCTTGAAATTGTCTGTAGCTAAATCCCTTTTGCTATTTTGGGTCACAATTTTCAATTGAAAAGAAATAAGAAGAAACGCCAAGGAATAGAGAGAGGTCAGAGTCAAAGAAAAGTTATAATTTAGATTTTGTGGGTTAAAATTGACAAAAGCGTACCAATATAGGGACCGTTGGGCAAAAAGGCCAAGGAGTGGAGACGCAATTTGAGAAGAGATAGAAAAGGAAGACACGTCAACAATGTCCATGGAGGTTCTGTGCTCTCAGATTTAGAGCGTGTGAGGGAGATAGGAAGAGAGAGAGAGAGAGAGAAAAGTGAGCGAGACGATCACGGCGGCGCTGAAGAAGAACCCAGAAGACTCTCTCCGTCTCCTCCACGACCACGGCCGCGCTGAAGAAGAAGTCTCTCTCCGTCTCCTCCCTTCTCCTCCGTCTCAGAAACAAGGCATCCCCAGGCGCCATGATCTCTCTGAGTCCGTCGTCGTTTCTGGTATTATTTACATCTTTCTTTCTCCATTCTTCTACATCCATCCATGTCTAATCTTGCTTTGGTTTCTCAGAACAAGACGGTTGTTCCTGGATGTTCCACACACCTCTTTCTGCGCCAGCCTAGAACTCTAATTACCCCTCCTGCTTCCTTGAGAGTGTTTTCCTCTCTCGGATCTAACCGGGATCCCAACGGCAGCCTTCTGATTGAGACCACTGCCACTTCATCCTCCTCTCTCGAGACCTCCGCCGCCGACATTGTTCCCAAATCCACCGTATCTGGTGGAGTTCAGGATGTCTACGGCGAGGATGCTGCCACCGAGGACATGCCTATCACTCCTTGGTCTCTCTCTGTCGCCAGTGGGTATACGTTGTTGCGTGATCCACATCACAACAAAGGCCTTGCCTTTAGCCACAGGGAGCGTGACGCTCACTATCTACGCGGCCTCCTCCCCCCCACTGTTATCTCCCAAGATCTTCAGGTTTCCCGTCTTGTCAGGTTTCACTTACTCTTTCTATATACAACTGCAAATTTGGACTTTGATCCTTTTACTGCACGCTTTGTCTACAGGTTAAAAAAATGATGCACACTCTTCGTCAGTATCAAGTTCCCTTGCAGAGGTATATGGCTATGATGGATCTCCAGGTAAACTAACCCTCTAGGAAGTTTCGCTATCTGAACAACACCAAGTGCCTTTGTTACCCAACTTCTTTCACTATGCTTCTGTATTTCAGGAGACCAACGAGAGGCTCTTTTACAAGCTTCTCATTGATCACGTCGAGGAGTTGCTACCAGTTGTCTATACTCCAACGGTCGGGGAAGCCTGCCAGAAGTATGGTAGCATTTTCCTGCGCCCACAGGGGCTTTTTATCAGCTTGAAAGAAAAGTGAGTCTTTTTATACGGAAATCAACTACCACTTTCAGTATTCTTGGGCTCATCTTTTAACTGAGAATACAATTTTAGAGGCAAGATCCATGAAGTGCTGAGGAACTGGCCTGAGAAGAACATTCAGGTCATTGTTGTCACTGATGGGGAGCGCATTTTAGGGTTGGGAGATCTTGGATGTCAGGCAAGTTGTTTCATTCTTTTCTGCTATCATGAGAGTGGTGAGTCAGGGTTTATCCTCTTACTAATTTGCGCTTTACATGCCATCATTTATGTCTTCAGGGAATGGGAATACCAGTTGGGAAACTTTCTCTCTATACAGCCCTTGGAGGTGTCCGGCCATCTGCCGTAAGTATAGTTTTATGCAAATCAGCTTTATTGCACTCAACCACATCCGCTCATCTTTCTCTCTATATATTGGTTGCCAGTGTCTGCCCGTAACAATCGATGTTGGGACAAACAACGAAAAGCTATTGAACGATGAGTTCTACATAGGACTCCGTCAAAGGAGAGCTACAGGAGAGGTAATTGACACCTTGCACCTTTCAGTAAGACGGTCCTGTGAAATTATGATGAAACTGAACCCTTAGTCCTCTTCTTTCTACAGGAATACTCTGAACTTATGCATGAATTCATGACAGCAGTCAAGCAGAACTATGGGGAGAAAGTTGTTATTCAGGTTAGCTTGACACATGGATAAGTGTACGCCACCAACATGAATTGCTGTTTAGATCTTATGAAATTTCCTATCTGTATATTTTGTAACCAGACATGTTTCTTTTGATAATTTGTAGTTTGAAGACTTTGCCAACCATAATGCTTTTGATCTGTTAGCTAAGTATGGTACAACACATCTTGTTTTCAATGACGATATTCAGGTATAACTACATCCTGATTAAGTTGTGAGAACAAGGTGATTTCGGCTTGAGTACATATTTACCAAGTTGTGAAACTGTATTTTTTCATATATTAGGGAACAGCATCAGTTGTGCTTGCGGGACTTATTGCTGCTCTTAGATTTGTGGGGGGATCCTTGTCAAACCACAGATTCCTCTTCCTTGGTGCTGGAGAGGTAAGGGTTGGGATTTTCTTTCAGTGAAATCCATTCCGTCAATCTATTTCTTGGATGGGGGTGGGATATTCTGCAGGCTTATCACATAGTTTTACTTCCCCATTTTTTTGTGATGCAGGCAGGCACCGGAATAGCTGAACTAATTGCTCTTGAGATTTCAAAGAAGGTAAGTTATACGCTTGTGTTCATTTGCTCTATTAAGCTACTTGTTTTCTTTTCTTATGTGAAAGTAACTTTTTTTTGTGTGCGACTGTAGTCCCATATTCCATTGGAAGAGGCTCGGAAGAATATTTGGCTCGTGGATTCGAAGGTAACTTATGAGATGTGGATTCATCTTTGCTTTGAATGTACTTAAATCTAAAGTACACATTTTTATCTATGTAGGGATTGATTGTCAGTTCCCGGAAAGAATCCATTCAACATTTCAAAAAGCCCTGGGCTCATGACCATGAACCGATAAGGGAACTTGTTGATGCCGTCAAGGTGTGTTGGTTATTGTTCTGCTGCAGAAGATATCACTGTAGAATAAGCCTTTTTTAAGTTTCAACCCTTTTTTTTTTCATTCAGGCAATCAAGCCGACAGTTCTGATCGGAACATCGGGAGTAGGTCAAACATTCACTCAAGACGTTGTGGAAACCATGGCAGAGCTAAATGAGGTATAATTTTTCCGCATCGACTTGCCTGAAAAAGAAATAAGCATTTTGGCAGATTCATTTTTTTCTAGGAGCACATGGTCCTGACCATAAAGTCAATTTTGGTGCATACAGAAACCCATCATTCTCTCTCTTTCAAACCCAACTTCTCAGTCAGAATGTACGGCGGAACAGGCCTATACGTGGAGTCAGGTAAACGAGTTAAGATTGTGATTTCTCATGATCAGAGAGAATTGGAGTATTATCGTTGGGTTACAAAGTCAACCTATTTTTACAGGGACGGGCGATCTTTGCTAGTGGAAGCCCATTTGCGCCAGTAGAGTATGAGGGAAAGACGTTTGTGCCTGGACAGGTTGTGACCATAGCTATTAGCTATTAGCTATAGAATAGGATTTGACAAGTGATTTAAGAGAGTTGATTCTGACGTTTGTGTTGACAGGCGAACAATGCATACATCTTTCCTGGGTTTGGACTGGGGCTAATAATGTCAGGGACCATCCGAGTCCATGATGACATGCTTTTGGCCGCGTCAGAAGCTTTGGCTGAGGAACTGATGGAGGAACACTATGAGAAGGGGATGATATACCCTCCCTTCAGGAATATCAGAAAAATCTCGGCTCGTATTGCAGCTAAGGTGGCTGCCAAGGCCTATGAACTGGGTAAGTAATTGTGTTGCCTGATGTAATGTGTTTCAAGTGTGAATTACAATATTAATGTAATGTGATTTTATAAAAGTGTAAATTATACAAGATTACATTTCCTTATATATAGGACTGGCCACGAGGTTGCCTCAGCCCAAGGAGCTGGAGCAGTGTGCTGAGAGCAGCATGTACAGCCCTTCTTATCGAAGCTACCGCTGAGGATAAGCTTAATCTCTCATTTGTTATGTCTCATACGACTCGCATGGCCATTTCTCTCCTCTCATATTCTTTCACCTTCCTCTTTGCATGAGATTTTTTGTTTGTTTGTTTGTCAGCATCTGAAAATCTGTGTTGTAATCACTGTTTCCTTTGTTTCCTGCTGTTTCTTTTCAAGTCCATAATAATCCTAAGAAATTTGTTTCTCTGGGCTATCGTCTCGTACTCGTGTATGTTAGCGTCTTGGTAGAAACATGTGATTGCATATGGTGTGATTTCATTTTAGGAAATATTCAGGAACATCATTTTAATTGATAGTTATTGCGACTGTTGGCTTTGTTGTTTTTTCTTCTTATTTTGAACGTGTTGTTTTACTAGTACAAATAAGCGATAGCTAAGACATGTTATTAGTGAGTGGTAGGGATGAGCCAATATCTCGAAAGTTGGGTGTAATCAGTGTTCTAAAAAGCGGTCTAGGCGGTCGCCTAGGCCCCGACTAGGCGGTCGCCTAGGCCCCGACTAGGCGCTAGGCTCTTATGCGACGCCTAGATAACTGCCTTGACCGCCTAAAATTACACAGATCTTGTCTAATGTATTATTTCAATATTAATTAGAGTTTTATTTTTATATATAGTTATAAATATTCATATATTATTTAATATAAATATAAATAAATGTTTTATCTAATTTTTGTTTATAATTTCATAATTTTTAGTTTTATATAGATATTTTATATAACTTTTATATATAATATCATATTTATAATATTTTATGTTATAAACGTCTAAACCGCCTAAAAAATCGTCTAGGCCCGATTAGGCGTTCTAGGCGCTAGGCATTGGGTCACCGCCCGCTTAGCATCTAGCGCTTTCTTGAACACTGGGTGTAATTGATTAATGCAGTGAACAAAATTAAGGATTGAAAGTGAATGAGAAAAGCGGAAACTAGCATCGATTTCATTAATTGTTTCTGGAAGAGTTTATCTCTTGCCAGTTTAGTGTACTAAAACCGCATTCCACTTTTGCATCTTTCAATCGTATTTATATAGAAAAAAATATAAAATAAAATTAAAGAGTGAAATGACAATTAGAGGAAGGAAGGTAATGTAAAAGTAAAACACGATAAATATAAGAAAAGAAAAGAAGAAAAGAAGGAGAGCAAAATATCGCGAAAAATTATCATAGAAGTGTTAGTTCCGGCGAGAAGAAGTGAATCTCTCCCGCATCGAGATTTCTCGGTAAGCACTGCTTCTAATTGACTCTTTTCTCCCACTATTTCTCCTTCCAAATTCTCTTTGATTCTTGTTGGTCTTCTCCGATTAGATCTTTGAATCTGTTTCTCTCCTCTCCGGGAACCGGTGGTGGTTTCATCATGTGTCTTTTTGATTTTCCGGCAATCCTTACTAGGGTTGTGTGTTTGGCAGGTGGGAAGCTGACGAAGAACATTTCATTCAGCAGTCCTCTAGCTACTAAGTAAGCAGCTCTATTTATTCTGAGACTGAGATTTTTGCATCATCTTCTAAGCATTCGATTATTGTTGTGTGACAGTGGTACGAGAAAAAGATATCTGCTGGGAATACGCAGAGAAACTAGATGGTAACAAGGTTAAATGCAAGTTCTGCTCTAGAGTTCTTAATGGCGGCATTAGTAGATTGAAGCATCATCTCTCTCGCCTTCCCAGTAAAGGGGTCAATCCTTGTGCCAAGGTTAGGGACGATGTTGCTGATCGAGTCCGTTCCATTTTATCTGCCAAGGATGACCCCAAAGATGCCTCAATCACCAACAACAAGTACAAGCCTCCACCACCACCACCTTTATCTCCTCTTCCCTCTGATGCTACGTCCAAACTACTCTTTCCCTCTTCTCCAAATGCGCAGGAGATTGCCGAGAGGAGTATTTCTCTTTTCTTCTTTGAGAACAAGATCGACTTTGGTGTTGCCCGCTCACCCTCTTATCACCATATGCTCGATGCCGTTGCCAAGTGTGGTCCTGGATTTGTTCCTCCTTGTGCTCTCTCTCTCAAGACTCAATTGCTGGACTCTGTTAAATCAGAAATTCGTTTACAACTGAAAGACACTGAAAAGGAGTGGGTCACCACGGGCTGTACTCTCATCGCTGAGGCATGGACCGACAACAAATCACGAGCACTGATCAACTTCTCTGTCTCATCGCCTTCCAGAATCTTTTTTCACAAGTCTGTGGACGCCTCCTCATATTTCAAGAACACAAAATGCCTTGCTGATCTCTTTGATTCTATCATCCAAGATATTGGTCAGGAGCATATTGTGCAAATCATTATGGACAACAGCTTCAGCTACACTGGTATCTCAAACCATATCTTGCAAAACTATGCAACCATTTTCGTCTCCCCTTGTGCATCTCAGTGTTTGAACATGATATTAGAAGAATTCTCCAAGGTAGATTGGGTCAACCAATGTATATCGCAAGCGCAGGTTATATCTAAGTTTGTGTACAACAATAGCCCCGTGCTAGATTTAATGAGAAAGTTAACAGGTGGGCAAGATATTATCAGAAGCGGTGTCACAAGGCCTGTCTCCAATTTTCTATCATTACAGTCAATGATGAAACAAAAAGCAAGGCTAAAACACATGTTCAATAGCCCAGAGTATACCACAAATCCTAATAAACCACAGAGCATGTCATGCGTGAATATCTTAGAGGATAATGATTTCTGGAGAGCTGTGGAAGAAAGTGTGGCTATTTCCGAGCCTATCCTGAAAGTATTGAGGGAAGTTTCTAGTGGAAAGCCCGCTGTAGGTTCTATATACGAGTTAATGTCCAAGGCCAAGGAGTCAATACGGACATACTACATCATGGATGAGAATAAGCATAAGGTCTTTTCTGACATAGTCGATACAAAGTGGTGTGACCATTTGCATTCACCTCTTCATGCAGCAGCAGCATTCTTGAATCCCAGTATTCAGTATAACCCAGAGATAAAGTTCCTCTCTTCCTTAAAAGAAGATTTTTTCAAAGTGTTGGAGAAACTTCTCCCCACTAGCGATTTACGGCGTGATATTACAAATCAGATATTCACTTTCACTAGGGCAAAGGGAATGTTCGGCTGTAACCTGGCGATGGAGGCGAGGGATTCAGTTTCACCAGGTATGGACAATACATTTATATTTTTTTTTGAAGTCATGAATATAATTTTTAGTCAAAATTCCAAGGGTTGCTATTCGTAACTTGGAATGTTAATACAGGTTTTGAACCAACCTGACTAGTGAACAGAGATGTCTAGGTAGTCTGAGTCGGGAGAAAACTAATCCACGTATCTATGACTGCAATTAAAGCTATGATCTTATTACACAACTAAATAAGGTCAGATTGATATAGCCTGGCACATAGTAAACCGAATTGCAAAACTTGTAGATATCTTCCCATCACCATGCTAGCTTTAGGGCTATGGTCTCGATTCTTGAGAATTGGTAACTAAGCTCTAGAAATTGATGTCAGTTTGCTTAGTAATGCAGGTCTCTGGTGGGAGCAGTTTGGTGACTCAGCACCTGTTTTGCAGCGGGTGGCCATCAGGATACTGAGCCAAATTTGCAGTGGTTACAACTTGGAACGCCAATGGAGCACATTCCAGCATATGCATTGGGAAAGGCGAAACAAGATTGACAGAGAAATATTGAACAACTTGGCGTACGTGAATCAGAATCTAAAGTTAGGGAGAATGATAACCGTGGAGACAGACCCGATTGCCCTGGAGGACATTGACATGATGTCGGAGTGGGTGGAAGAGGCAGAGAATCCCAGCCCTGCCCAGTGGCTTGACCGTTTTGGGTCCGCCCTTGATGGAGGAGACTTGAACACCAGGCAGTTTGGCGGTTCTATTTTCAGTGCCAACGACCATAACATCTTCGGCTTGTGAAGTCCTGGTAAGAGGTTTTCATGAGTTGGTCCAGCGTTGTCGGACGTTAGTTTTATCTTTTGGATCGAGATTGCTGTGTGTTTAACCACACCTCGGTTCGCTCTATTGTGCATAATGTTTTATAATAAAGTTTAAGTAATTGTAGATAAGCTTTTCTCTCTCTTCTCTCTCTAAATTTTTCAGAGAGAGAAAGCGATTCTCGGCAAAGGCAAACTCTTTTCTGGCATCGATCGATTTTTTATCGGTGATGGCTGGCTCTCTTCCAGCATCAGCCGGCTTCTTTAGCGGCGGTGGCTGGCTCCTTTCCAGCATCAACTGGCTTTTCTAGCGGTGGTGGCTGGCTCCTTTCCAGCATCGACTGGCTTATGTAGCGGCGTTGGCTGGCTTTTGGTTATTCCGGCGTAGTCCGGCGTCATATCATGGTTACTTTTAATATCGTCGTTTGTTTTTTTCAATAATCTCATTGGTTATGTGTTGGTGGAGGCGTTTTAGGCGATTACTCGTTTAAAAGTGTTTCTTTTCTGACTCTTTCCTTTGAGGAAGCGGTTTACAAAACTCATCTGAGTTTGGTAACTAAAGTTGAAGAAAAAAAGAATTTTCCGTCGCTTATTTTAAATTGCCTTTAGCTGTTAATTTCTTTGTTTGGAGCTTCGATTAGTTTAACAAACAGTTGTGGAGTAATCAGATTTATTCTTCTCTTTTACCCGTTTTCGTCGGATCTCAATTAACTTTTGAGGTTTTTGGCAAACGGAGAAGTTTAATAGATCTGTATTATATCCTTTAGATCTGTTCTTGTAGTTAACGGTGAAGAAACAAAAGAATCAAGGTTCGATATTCTCGACAGATGATTTCTTTTCACCGGAATCAATAGCTCATACGGCGGAGGTTGTTGTCGGAAAGCTTAAGATTTTTCGTCCAACACGTGTATTTGCAACACCAGCTGACGACACGTGTCTCTGGATGGAATCACGATATCCCATCTTCTTCCTTAGGCGGTGCCCTTGTTTGGACTCGTTTGGGCTTCAAGTAATATATGTAAACCTTCTTTGTTTGTAAGGCCTTTTGTTAAGTTGGCCCTTGTATGGTATGGTACAATAAATAAAATGAGCAACACTTATGAGAAAAAAAAAAAAAAAGTAATTGTAGATAACAAATATCGGTTCCTCACACGTCGCTGAGCTTTGTCCAAAACTAGAAAGCATGTTCAGATACTCAATGCCACTTTTCGTGTTGGGCAATTCTTATTTTTGTAACTGAGTTTTCACTTGAAGCCCTTTTTAATATATGAGTGTTTAAAAAAAGAGGAAGATTGTTTTTGTTTGTTTGTTTGGGCCGTTAATGAGGCCCCCAAACAAACAAAGAAAAGGAAAATTGTCTGACCGGAGCTAATAATATATACTCGTCTTTGTTCGTTCAGGGGATTCAGATCACAAGTACACCGAGAATGGCGTCGTACAGGCCGCCGTATCCTCCTCAAAATCCTTTGGCCCCTCCGCCTCCTCCGCCGTCTTTACCCCCTCCTGTTCCTCCCCCACCACCGTCGCATCAACCGTACTCTTATCCTCCGCCGCCTCCCCCTCCGCATGCTTACTATCAGCAGTATCCTCAATTCAACCAGGTCCAAGCTCCTCCTCCTCCACCTCCACCTCCCTCAGCTCCTCCTCCCCTCGTACCCGATCCTCCTCGAAATCAAGGGCCCAATGACCGCGACAAAGGGGCCTCGAGGCGGGAGCGTGCTAAACCGGATCCATCGAAGCACCACAGGTCTCATCTTCCCCATACTAAGAAAATCGAGACCGAAGAAGAGAGGAGGCTTAGGAAGAAGAAGGAGTTAGAGAAACAAAGGCAAGAAGAAAAACTTAGACAGCAGATGAAAAATTCTCACAAGTCTCAGATGCCCAAGGGACACACGGAGGAGAAGAAGCCGACGCCTCTACTCACCACCGACAGGGTCGAGAATAGGTTAAAGAAACCAACCACCTTCATCTGCAAGCTCAAGTCAGTATTCTCACTTCTAGCAAACGACTAACTACATCGTGTTTACATATTAGACTGATAATCATCTTCTTGAAGGTTCCGGAATGAGCTCCCTGACCCTAGTGCTCAGCTTAAGCTTATGACCATTAAGCGGGATAAAGATCAGTATGTTACTCTATTGCCAAAAAGATCTTCCAGTTTTATTTCTTGACTCCGTTTTACTTCTTAAATCTGATACAGCTATTTGATCCGACCACTAGATTTACAAAGTATACCATCACATCGCTGGAGAAATTATGGAAACCAAAAATCTTTGTCGAGCCTGATCTTGGAATACCCTTGGATCTGCTTGACCTAAGTGTATACAAGTATGATCTCTCAATAAAGTTTGACTGTCTTTAATGCGAGAGACCTCATCTACTCGGATACTTACTAATGTAGCTCTTTTCTTTCAGCCCTCCCAAATTCAAGGCACCTCTTGCCCCTGAAGATGAAGAACTGCTGCGTGATGATGATGCTATTACACCTATTAAGAAAGATGGCATCCGGAGAAAAGAAAGGCCAACTGATAAAGGTGTTTCCTGGCTCGTGAAAACACAATACATTTCTTCTATTAATAATGAATCGGCAAGACAGGTATCAATCTCACTTGTTGAAAGTTTCTTTTGTTATTTATAGCTTGTGAAAGCAGTTTCCAATCTTATATGTTCTCCATGTGTAGTCGCTAACTGAGAAACAAGCAAAGGAACTGCGAGAGATGAAAGGAGGCATCAACATCTTGCACAATCTTAACAATAGGTGTGTTATTTCTCAAATTTGTGTATTTCTAAACAAAGTGAAAAAAGAAGGTCTAATGGTTTCTTTTTCTTTGGTCTCTAGAGAGAGACAAATCAAGGATATTGAAGCATCCTTTGAAGCATGCAAGTCTCGACCAGTTCATGCCACCAATAAAAGCTTGCAGCCGGTTGAAGTTTTACCACTGTTGCCATATTTTGATAGGTTGATTGCTCCTTATTTTCCCTTTGAGACAATCTTAAATCTTAAATCCCGAATCAGGCAATTTTTTCTCATAATAGCCCTGCATGTAGACACAACAATGAAGCCCTTGAAAGCTGACACTTTACGGTATTATCTGTATGTTGGCTTTCTGTGAAGGATCTCCTGTGGTGGTAAACATGCGCTTATAGTTTTCCAGTTGCTATAGAATAATGTAATCAACCAGATGGGAAAGCCAGCCATTAAAGTCTAACTATTCAACATTTAAGAGATGTTGGTCTTTATTTTTTCCCCTTTTCTCTGCTCCATGTCTTGTTCAAATGTTTCTTTGCAAGAGTTTTAGTGCATTGCCTTTTGGATGAAAAATCACTAATAGTTTTCAACTTGTAGCATATTATGCTAATATATTTGTCTCTTCCCTTCTTTTTTCGATACAGGTACGATGAGCAGTTTGTGGTAGCGAATTTTGATAGTGCTCCTACAGCTGATTCTGAATTCTTTGGCAAGCTAGACCCATCAATTCGTGATGAACATGAGTCACGGGTGAGTTATGAGTTACTCATATCCGTGAGCATGGCCCAATTATCTCTGTTCTCTAGTATATGAATACTTTGTTCCTTAGAGGCAAGATGACTGTATAAACTATATCGCTTTTGTTACCGACAAAAGTGTACTCGAATGAGGATGGGATATATGAGATATGGGGCCTAATCTTAAATATGGTTGATTGCCTTATTTTCATATCGATGACGAGCTCTGACCTCATACTCACAGGCCATTTTGAAAAGCTATGTGGTGGCTGGATCAGACACTGCCAATCCAGAAAAATTTCTGGCGTACATGGTTCCTTCGTTGGATGAGGTAGTCATGCCTCTGTCTCCACGAACTGATCTCTGTTATAAACTTTTGTTAAATATGTATGTTGCTGTGCCAGTTGTCTAAGGATATGCATGATGAAGACGAAGATATCTCTTACACTTGGGTTCGCGAATACCACTGGGATGTATGTACCGTAGCCAATGTGGTTTGAGTGAAATTTTGATTGTTTTGAGTTGCAGATTGAAATAAATATGTTACCTGATGTTATAACAGGTACGTGGTGATGATGCAAATGATATTGGCACATACCTGGTATCGTTTGATGATGGGGCCGCTAGCTATCTGGTATGCCGTAGACAATACCTGCATCGCTTTTTGTATCTTTTTGTTACATATTTCAGTTGTGTATCTTTGTCTCTGTCTATAATACTTTGGGATGACCCACCCTTGAGAATTTGGCAGCCCCTACCCACGAAGCTGAACTTGAGGAAGAAAAGGCCCAGGGAAGGAAGATCTTCTGATGAGATTGAACACTTTCCAGTACCTTCAAGGGTGACTGTAAGGCGAAGATCAACTGTATCAGTGATCGAACATAAAGATTCAGGGGTATAGTAAATCCATACATTTAGCCTTTAAAAAGAGTAATACAAGAAGTATGTGGAAAGTTCTTGTTCTCTTACCAATTCCTTTGGACTTTGGGGCTTTGGATGTAGGTTTACTCTTCTAGGGTTGGTGCTTCGAGCTCCAAGATGAGAAGATTAGAGGACGAAGAAGGCCTTGGTAGATCTTGGAAACATGAGCCGGAACAAGATGCCAATCAATATAGTGATGGTAATGAGGATGATTATTCTGAATGAACGTTTTATGTACTTCAAACTATTCAATCGGTTTTCCAATGGTGTGTGAAGTATCCTGCAAGGCTACTTTTAGGCTAATTTAAAGCGTAATATGGCCTCGACCAGAGCCTCGTAATTTGGCAAGTAAAGAAATATTGATTTGGATAGCTGGCGAAGCTGAAAAACGATTTGACATGTACACGTCCATGGTTAAATGAATTGGCCATTTCGTTAGGCTTTTACGACTTTGATCCTATCTACGTGGAGCTTGTGGCCATCAATTCACTATCTCACATAGACGAGAGCTTTGAGAAGTACAACAATGGTGAAATAGTACTCTCTTACACAAAACAAGAAAAGAAAAAGAAAGGCAAACTTTCTCCACCAGTCAAGAAGTATGTCTGTCTAGTGTTTGTGGATGACTGTGAACCAGTTGAGATAAACATACATGTCTGGACATCATCCTCTATGCATCTGCTTTCACTTCTTTTCCTCTTTCTTTCTATGTCTATTTAAGATGGAAATGTATTGGAGACTTTTATTACAAAAGTTTAGAATATAAGTATGGGACAAAAGTTCTCGAAGATGGAATAAACGGCAAATTGGTACATCAATTGGGAGAATATATAATGTTCATCCTGCTTCTGGGGAATTGTATTATCTTCGAATGTTAATCAATTATAAAAAACGACCCACAAGTTATGAAGATATTCTTACAGTAGATGGTATAACTCATAGTACTTTTAAAGATGCATGTGTTGCAATGAGTCTATTAGAAGGAGATGAAGAGTGGCATGAGGCTATGAAAGAAGCCTCTCTTTGGGCTACAGCAAATCAATTGCGTAATCAATCTGTCATGTTAGGGTTTAGGGTTTAGGGTTTAGGGTTTGGGGTTTAGGGTTTGGGGTTTAGGGTTTAGGGTTTAGGGTTTGGGGTTTAGGGTTTAGTCCGAGTAAGGTTCTGACACATGTTATCTCATTCTATGTTTACACGCTTGTTCATCTCCAGGTTTGGAATCTTGGTTAATTACCTTACCCAACTTTTACATTGGCCAATGACGATAAGCCCTATCTAATTACCGTCTCTGATGATCACTCTGTTAAGGTCGAATTCTGTTCACTTCTCTGTTATATAATGCATGTTTACTTGTAACTCTTATACTGTGGCGTAGGTTAACCTATTTGTTTGCCTAGTGGTTTAGGGTTTAGGAGCGATCAAAAGAGCGAAGAGAGAGAAAAGAGATCCATGAAAAAGAAGAGATCTATCGTTTATGATGATGGAGAAAAAGAGATCTGGGATCAAAGATTCAAAAAATCTAGAAAAATAGATCTAGGGCGTTGATGATGATGGTGGAGAAGAAGAGGAGAAGAAGAGAAGAAGAAGAAGAGGATAAGAAGAAACGTGAAAATTATGTGGAGAAGATATGGATTAGCAAAAGAAATGACAAGGGTACGTAATTTGTGTGTTAGATTAAGGGTTTTTGGACTTTGAACATATATTTTGATTTAAAAGAAAATGAGAAATAAAATTAAAATATAGGGGTGGCAAATACGATTAGTTTTATGGAGAAAGTGGCATTCTAGCCATTGTTTCGATAGATCAGTTGGAACAAAAGACGGACCACACGATTGGAATTTTTTATTTTCCAGATATGTCAATGAGATTTTCCTTATATTTCTCCCATCTTATTTTCGTCTTGTTTTTGTTGTTGTAGATGGTTTTTCTTATCCAAACGGAAAATTCCTTTGTTTGATTAGGATATAAATTGCGTATATATTTATCTTCTTCTTTTTCATTTTTCTAACAAAATAAATATTTATCTTTTTGGATAATAAAAAATTCACTAGTAGAATATACAAAAAATAAGATAGAAGCATCATTGTTTTCTCTCTTAAGTGATACAAGTTCGAATGGTAACAATGTATTTGGCTGTATAGAAAATGCGGGTTTTACAATAAAGTACGGTTCAACTATGGTATGTATTGGAGAAATGTATTTGCGAGATAAGTACGGTTTTTACAGAATAAACACTGCAAAAAAAGTTGATTGGTTAAAAAAGTTGATTGAATACATATATATAGGAGACTAACTTATATTTAATCTAAATAAATTAGAAAATAGTAAATATTTTAAATTTCTTAATTCTTATTCCAATAGGAATAATTCTCACAAGTCTCAGATGCCCAAGGGACACACGGAGGAGAAGAAGCCGACGCCTCTACTCACCACCGACAGGGTCGAGAATAGGTTAAAGAAACCAACCACCTTCATCTGCAAGCTCAAGTCAGTATTCTCACTTCTAGCAAACGACTAACTACATCGTGTTTACATATTAGACTGATAATCATCTTCTTGAAGGTTCCGGAATGAGCTCCCTGACCCTAGTGCTCAGCTTAAGCTTATGACCATTAAGCGGGATAAAGATCAGTATGTTACTCTATTGCCAAAAAGATCTTCCAGTTTTATTTCTTGACTCCGTTTTACTTCTTAAATCTGATACAGCTATTTGATCCGACCACTAGATTTACAAAGTATACCATCACATCGCTGGAGAAATTATGGAAACCAAAAATCTTTGTCGAGCCTGATCTTGGAATACCCTTGGATCTGCTTGACCTAAGTGTATACAAGTATGATCTCTCAATAAAGTTTGACTGTCTTTAATGCGAGAGACCTCATCTACTCGGATACTTACTAATGTAGCTCTTTTCTTTCAGCCCTCCCAAATTCAAGGCACCTCTTGCCCCTGAAGATGAAGAACTGCTGCGTGATGATGATGCTATTACACCTATTAAGAAAGATGGCATCCGGAGAAAAGAAAGGCCAACTGATAAAGGTGTTTCCTGGCTCGTGAAAACACAATACATTTCTTCTATTAATAATGAATCGGCAAGACAGGTATCAATCTCACTTGTTGAAAGTTTCTTTTGTGATTTATAGCTTGTAAAAGCAGTTTCCAATCTTATATGTTCTCCATGTGTAGTCGCTAACTGAGAAACAAGCAAAGGAACTGCGAGAGATGAAAGGAGGCATCAACATCTTGCACAATCTTAACAATAGGTGTGTTATTTCTCAAATTTGTGTATTTCTAAACAAAGTGAAAAAAGAAGGTCTAATGGTTTCTTTTTCTTTGGTCTCTAGAGAGAGACAAATCAAGGATATTGAAGCATCCTTTGAAGCATGCAAGTCTCGACCAGTTCATGCCACCAATAAAAGCTTGCAGCCGGTTGAAGTTTTACCACTGTTGCCATATTTTGATAGGTTGATTGCTCCTTATTTTCCCTTTGAGACAATCTTAAATCTTAAATCCCGAATCAGGCAATTTTTTCTCATAATAGCCCTGCATGTAGACACAACAATGAAGCCCTTGAAAGCTGACACTTTACGGTATTATCTGTATGTTGGCTTTCTGTGAAGGATCTCCTGTGGTGGTAAACATGCGCTTATAGTTTTCCAGTTGCTATAGAATAATGTAATCAACCAGATGGGAAAGCCAGCCATTAAAGTCTAACTATTCAACATTTAAGAGATGTTGGTCTTTATTTTTTCCCCTTTTCTCTGCTCCATGTCTTGTTCAAATGTTTCTTTGCAAGAGTTTTAGTGCATTGCCTTTTGGATGAAAAATCACTAATAGTTTTCAACTTGTAGCATATTATGCTAATATATTTGTCTCTTCCCTTCTTTTTTCGATACAGGTACGATGAGCAGTTTGTGGTAGCGAATTTTGATAGTGCTCCTACAGCTGATTCTGAATTCTTTGGCAAGCTAGACCCATCAATTCGTGA